CAGCCCCAAACAGTTTCTTTCGAAACTATCAGCCTTTATTCATTTGCTCATATCACTAGACTGACTTATAAGGAAGGATTCCAAAAACTTCTCCTCTTTAAACACTTTTAATGATAAATTGATACACTCCCAGGCTTTACAAACATATTTCTTTACAACGTTGAAATTTTCAACAAAACTTTAAAATAAGCTTAATAGTTACCTTCAAAGTTAGCTGAACTGCGCACGAGCAGCTCATGATACTCACTGTAGATACAACAGAACACAGCGGTAAAATGAATGCGCATGCTCTGCTACTCGAATTATTTGAGCTTTTAGGACTAACGGTTTTTCTATTGCAAACATACGCTGAGTGGGTTTTTCAGCCGAGACAATAAACTTTTTCTCCGGGAGCTTTGCCTACTGAAAGAGGTGGCAAGAAGCGCTAAAGCGATAAAAGGCGCTACGATAATCACTGTATACACAACAGAACATAGCGGCAAAATTAGTGCGCATGCTCCGCTACCAGACTCGAATTATTTGAGCTCCCTTGGGCTAACGGGTTTTTCAGCCGAGACACCAAACTTTTCTCAGGGGGTTTGCCAACTAAAGGAGATGGCAAGAAGTGTTATAGCGATAACAGGCGCTACGAACTTCTGAACGGCTGCTGAACTTCAGTCACTAAATTCACACCTGTTACCAAAACCCTTTTTTCTTTGAGTGCGATATATGGGGTTTGACAACAGTTTTCCTGAAATTAGCAACCTTATCTGTTTTGATCTGGGCCTATCCCCATGAATTGAAAGCAAACAATAAAAATTTTAAAAATGCTTCGATTTTGCCTCGATAGTGTTACTATGGAAATATTGTCGTTCCTATTCCTTTGCACGCCTAAATTTCTCGCGAGTGACAAGCATACGCACTCATTTTGCCACTGTGTCCTCACTCTATTTTCGCATTTGATAGAGAAGATAGTGTGAACTACAAATTACATTTCTTAACATTGTCGTTTTGAAGTATTTATACATCGATAAACAGATTTGATTGCACTATCTCTGTTTACACTCGATTTCTATCCCTATCAGTCGTGGTGTCTAGTTTCTCTGCAGAAAACCTTTCACTCTAAGGATTGCTTATAAAATCCTTTGGCTTTTATCTATTAAACTTCCGTGAA